GAGAGAGAGAGAGAGTGTGGGTGTGTGTGGGGGTAAAGGTAAGATGAGGGTTGGAAGAGATACACATACTGAGATTTTTGTTGGCCAGTTTTGCGGGTTCATCATTATGCGGCACAAGTTTCTTTGGCCCCCTCCCATGCGCTGAGCCCAAGCAAAATGCTTAAGCTGGGTATATTAGCTACAGGCTATATGCCATAATTAGCCGGCCTTAGCTAGCAGTCCAGCCGTTCGTTCAGCCTGGAGGACTATGCCATATTGAAATATCGTAATCGATAACATTTTGCATTTTATTGCAGGGTAACTTCCAGTCGAGCACACCCTGTGGCAGCACTTCTGCATGATGTGAAGTTGAAGAGTTGCCAAAAACTTGACTGACGCGCTTTCAAGTGAATTCTGATGTGCAGGCACGTCCTTCGACTGAACGGGGCATGCGTCGAGTTTCCACTCAGCAAGTGGCACAACAACACACGCACACACACACAAATAAATACATCCATACCTGCGAGTAGTTACCATCGAAATTCAATTTGAATATTTTGTTTTTTTTTTTTTTGTATTTTTTATTCTTGTACATTTTGGTTTTCTTCTTTAGTGAATATTGTTTTGAATCGAACGTCATGTCGACCACAACGCGAGGAACAGACAACGAGGAGGAGACCTCGAGCAGAGGTATGCACATTCTGTGCAACTTTCAACTGGAGCCGAAGATAGATCCCAGGACCAACGACATGACCGTGATAGCCCATTTGCCCGATAAGAAGCTGCAGGACCTCGGCCCCATCGCGCCCGAACAGGAGCGCCTCCATGAGATATACATCTGCCTGGCCAATGGGCGACTCGAGCGGGCGTTTTCATTCACCGAAACCGAATATCGCAGTGTGATGAACGAATTCATAAGATACGGTCTCACTGCCAGCAATAGTCAGGAGGAGGATGACTCTACCCAGACAGGAGGCGTGTCGCAGCCTGCATCAGAAGCCTCATTCGTTGTTACCGACTCGCCCTCATACACGGAATCGCAGACGTAATAAATTTCTCATATCGCCGAGGCAATAGCCCAAGAACACCTTCAATCGGGCTTAAGTTTATCGCTCGGATTGATTCATAGTGGGTGATACATCTTGTTAATATTGATTGCTTATCAACTGCTAAGGGAACAAGTAAAGGCTACAGCCCCTCGGATTGGTACAACTCATTGTGATTGATCTGTATTGAATGGCTTATCAATCAGGCGCTGATTGATTGCCAGTTGGCATAGCAAAGACCAAAGGCAACTGGCTTCAATCGCTTTTGATTGACCTATGTTAGCTTGCTCGTCAATCATAAATGCATATAACTTGATGGACTGTCAGCTGTGGCCAGACTTTTTAAGCTTCAATCGGATTTGCATGCATCATCTTACTTCATTTGGGTTAGCTGATTGATCAATCATAGATTTCTTATATAGTCTACTATCCATGGTCTGCCAGCTATCAAAGCTAGAGCCTAAGACTACAGTTCATGTAGCTTCAATCGATCATGATTGATATATCCTAAATGATTGATCAATCATATGCTTAGGAAGTTGTAAACAGTCTTCAATCAGTGAGAGCCTTAACTGTTACTCAAATTTTCACAGCTGCATTTTTGATTGATGTTGATTGAGGAGTCGGAAATCTTATGCTAAGCTTTGGCTAATTGATTGATTGACTGATGAGCGATAAGGACTCTAGCTGCTTGATCAAGAGAGGCTCTCTAGGCACAATTAGTTAAACTAGCTGATGCTGATTGCAATTTATTCATGCATTGATTCGAATTCCCATTTGCCATTAGTCTTTCGGGGATAGAGAAAAGAAAATGGCATTTCCAATTAGCTAATTTGATGCACACTCGACGGTGTCCGAAATACAGTGATGAGCTCTCAAGAGTTTCCGGAACATAAAAAAGCCATATGAAGCGAAACGCTCATCAGTCATCGCTCTCAGCCCAGCCCCGTCCCCTCACTGTGCATGTTTTTGGGTATACTTTTTGTTTTTGTTTTTCTGTTGTTGTTTATGGAAATCTGTTTGTAAAGCGCACTCAAAGGCATATCCCGTGTAGTGGGCTGGGAGCGGGAAATTATCGATAGCGAAAATCGATTGATTGCCTTGGAAATTGCAGGGCATATGGCAATTGCTGTTCTGTTTGCTATTCTGTGCTGTGTGTTGTGGTTCAACCTTCAGTCACACACACACACACACGCACACACACTTGGCCATATGTCCAACGTGTGTTGACCATATCAGCTGAGGGCGTGCCACAGTGGGCGTGGCTGCATTTGATATGCTTAAAACGGACCTCAACGACAGGCTAGGCGAATGTTACTTTGATGTTTCATGTCATGGTTTTTGCCATCTCACTCTCTGCCTCTCTCTCTCTGTCCCTCTCTTTATCTCTGTGTGTATCTCACCTGGCCCTCACTCTCTGTCCACGCCTCAGTTACTGACAGCTTTCGTGTGCTTATGCATATTACTTTTCCTTTTTTTACGCACAGCTTTCTCTTTTTCCTTTTTCCATTTTCTTCACTGATCAAACAAAAGGCTGGCATTTGGGGGCGTGCCAGCGCCCATTTTATGGCTGTCGGGCATAATTTATGCCAGGCGCTACGGAATGGTCGTCTATGGATTTGCCAATGGACATTGACGGGACGCTGACAGGAAATCCAAAACGGAAATTTGTTTAAGAAAATTGTCGAGTAATATTTGGCAGAGCCCACAAGGCCCCCCCTCCAACCCGCCCCGGCGAGCAGTAAGCGAAATGTAACAGAAATGAAATAAACGAGAAATGAAAAACTTAAACGTCAGCCATCAATTAGCCGAGTGCTGCGAGACTTTGGGGCCAACAGACGCAACAGGAGGCCAGCCGAGCCGAGCCGAGCCATCCCCATGAGGACTTTGGGCAATGGCGACGAGCGCAAAGCAACTTAAAAAGAATTGCTCAACTATTAAACAGCTCTAGCTCGCTCTCACTCTCTGTCTATGTCTATGTAGCTCTCCCTCTCCCTCTGTCTGGCCGTGTATGCAGCATAGCAATAGATCCCATTGCGGAAACCGGATATGCCAGGCAGAAACACTTGCGCAACAGCAAGGCAAGGAAAAAAAAGAGGTTAAACTTGTTGCAATAACTTTCAGACGGGCCCAAAAGGACAAACACTCACAATGAGCAAGAGAGAGATAGCGATAGAGAGAGAGATAGACACACATGTGTTTTCATGAACAGCGATAAATGTTATTAACTTGACCAAGTTTGCTTTGGGCATAAACTTGAGTAATTGAAGAACGCCCAAGCGTCGGCAAAATTAGCTGCACAAATGCTCAATGGCCCCATATATAGATGTATTGAAATACATTTATATATAAATAAAAATAAACATATACATCCCTATTTATATATAGCTATTGATGTAGCTACCTCCACTGCTGTGCTCTATTTAAGGTCTTTTTGACCAGCTCAGCTGATCGAAACTTTGCCTCCATTCGGTTAAAAGTTAAATTGGGCTTGAAAAGAAGTTGGCTTGTGCCTCGGCATTGATTTAATGCCATGCCATTGTCATACTACAACAGCTCTGCTCTCAGCTATGCCAGTTGTGCTCGGAAACAGAGGCAGAGAAATACTTTTATAGCTCGTTAGGCAGTCGGGCGATGATTGCAGGTGTGAAAACGGTCGAGATGTGACTGGGGCAGATAACTTTGATGCGATTAAGGAGGGAAAGGGCTAACAGTCTTAAAGTCTCAATTTAGCTGGATGGCCACTCAGGCTACTCTCAGAGATATTTTGTTTCTTATGCCGACTCCAGTTGTAATTCCCAATTACATTGACTCAAAGTCAAAGAGTCAGAGATATGATAGAAGTTTAGCAAAATATTTAAGTATGTCATTAGAGGCGATACAGCCAAGGCTTTGAGAAGAAAGACTGAGCTAAAAAAATTTGATTCTACCTCTTCTATAAGTTTATATCTGTGCTTAAAGGCCTTAAAATAGAACTTATGAGGGCTACAGCAGGAATCTAAAGTCTACTCTGATTATCCTCGTTTCTAATCAACAAGAAATTTTCCTGTATCGCTCGAAATCGATACATATCGATAACACACTATGCTGACTTTGCAGTGTAAGAACAAGAGGCATATAAAGTGAACTCTACAGCAAACACAAACTAATTCTGAATTGATTTCATCTCAGATTAAATTCGTCAAAATCGATACATATCGATAACAAACTAGCTTCACTAAATTTAACTAACCATACACAAATTATTCCTAAATTTAATTCTTCTCAGAATTTGTTTCAGATAGACTATTCCATAAAATCGATAAAAATCGATAACACCAATTCAATATTTTAGCAACTGGAGACATACAAAGGCGTCTCTAGAAGCGCCTACAGTGAACACAAATATAAAGTACTAAAGTATTTCCTAAATATACTCAAAGACAATGCCGAACGAGGCATTTCCTAGTCGAGCATTGCCAGTAGAGCGCTCATCAGTCAGTGAGCATCATCGGGCAGGCGTTCTGTGTGAGTTAGAGTCTAGAAATTGCCTTTACTTCACTTTCATAGTAGGCTTTTGGTCTGGCTAACAGTATTTTAAATTTGTGGTATTTTCTGTGGTAAAAAAAAAATACCAACTCCTAAAACCCAAGAATGCCATGACAATTTTTCTCACCAAACTACATCCGGAATATCTGAAAATATCTCATTATATATTTACCTCTCGACCTGAATATATATAAAAGTATATTTTTTTTTATTATATTTTTTTTTTTTTTTTCGAAATTCTTTTGATTGTCCCGGGACAAGCTGACCACGTTGCTATGCCGCAAGTAGCAACCTAAAGAACCATTCGACTTTATTTTATCGCACCGAATCAGAGAACCAAAAGTGCAAAGCAAATCTGAACGGAACCCAAAACTCGAGAGGGAACTTGCGAAAATTTTGAATTCATTGAAACAAAAGCTACAAATTTTTTAGAACCAATCGAACGGAATGGAGAACGAACGGCTTAACTGCAGATGCAGCCGACGCGGCCGCATTTGCGTCTGTGTGCCAAGGAACCATGTGGATCCGAGCCTGATCCAGGTGATGAACGAGGCGCGCCGTCTGCGCGTCATGGAGGAGCTGGCCGCCGTGCTGGAGAGGGATCTGATGGGCGTCGACGCCAAGTGGGTGCTCTTCACCATGGCCGTGCAGAGCTATCGCTACGAGCAGCTGGTGGTACCATTTCCGCCTGCATATGCCACGCCCACTGGCCTCAACATCGACTCGCTGAGCTTTGTCACCGGCACCATGACCGAGCTGGCGACCTACCAGCGCCGTCTGATGCAGAAGCTGCTGCCGCCCGAGCAGGTACAGCTGATGCACTGGCTGCTCGTGCAGAGCGACACGCCGCAGCTGCGCCAGGTGCAGCGCCACGATCAGCCGGAGCTGTGGCGCCAGCTGGCCTTCAAGCCGGATCCGCGGCCACACTTGATATTCCGCGTGGTGCCCAAGGGCTCCGACGACGGGTCCGCCAAGCCGCTGGACCCGGCCAGCTGCCTCTTCTACGGCGGCGACATGGAGGAGCTCTTCGCCATGATGTCGGCCAAGCGCTACGACCTGAATCAATCCGAGCTCGAATTCTACGATGATCTGGAGACGGCCGCCAACATGGCCGAGTGGTGCCCCGGCTGGGGCTACTCGATCTGCGGCACTCTGCTGCGCTGTGTGGCCGTGTGCCAGCTGCACGAGCACAAGCGGCTTCAGGTGCGCTACCTGCTCTTCTACAGCATGTGCTACACCAAACAGATGCAGGCCGTGCGCCGCCGTCAATGGAAAAGGTATGCGCTGGAGCAGCGAGTGAACGAGCAGCTCTTGCAGCAGCAGCAACAGCAGCAGCAGCACCACCACCACCACCACCACCATCAGCATCATCAGCAGGCCAATCGCGGTGCCCATCTGCAGCAATGGCAGCAATTTTATGAATGGCAACAGCAACTCGAGCAGCAGCAGCGTCAGGAGCAGCGTCAGGAGCAGCAGCAGCAGCATCGCGAGCAGCAACAGGCGAGAATGCGCCGCCAGCACAGAGATAGGGAGCGCGTCGAGGAGATCCTTGACTACGACGAGCGCCAGCAGCTGCAGCCGAGGCCATCGCAGACCTCGTTCTTCAGCATGATTTTCAGCCGTCGCAGCGCCTTGGTGGTGCTGGGCGCTCTGACGCTCGCTTCTCTGACGCTGGTGGCCACGAATATGCGCCAAGTGAGCCAAGGGCGCACCAGCTGGCTAATTCGATTTTAACCGATCTAACTTCAATTATTGTTCATGTTCGTGCCAAAAAAAAAAGAAAATTCGTTTGTTGAAAATTAAAGTAAAGCAAAGGCTTAAAAAAATGTAAAAAAAAAAAAAAAATATTTAATTAAAAAAAAAAAATTAAAAAAAAAAATAAAAGAAAACAAAAAAAAAAACGTTAAAAAAAAATTAAAAAAACGTAAAAAAAATTTAAAAAATAAAAAAAACCCTAAAAAAAATCGAATCTATTTTTGCTTATTTATTTATTTAGATTTACAAGATTTCATGCTAGCAATTTCTGATCTATTGTCATACAATTTCTGATCTATTATCGCTCTTATATGGTCACCTAGTCATGATTCGCTTTCTATATGGAAATCAAATTGAACATATTACAGGGTGTTTTTTGGCTGAAGTCTTGGTTTTCATTTTGAGCTTCTATCTTAAGAAAAAATATATATTTTATTAAAAAACAAGTAAGAAAGCTCTAGTCGAGACTGCTCGACTACGAGATCCCCT